AGGAGGAGGAGGAGGAGGAGGAGGAGGACCACTCGCGGCCGCAGGGGCGGCCTCCCCCCCTCGACATCCTCGACGTGGGCTGCGCCGGGGGCCGGGACCTCGTGACCTTCACGGGCCGCGGCCTCGGGCGGCGGCCCTCCGCGGGCCTTCTCGCGAGCCTCGGAGGCTCGGCGGCGCGGAGGCCTCTCCGCCTCGGGGTGCTCGCTCCGTGCTCATCGGAGGCGAGTCGTTGTGTTTATGTCGTCGCTTAGCTCCCTGGAAAGTTCGGCTTTCGGACCCTGCGTCGGTCCTCTGGTGTTTCCTGGCCTCGGAGTGCTCTCCAACGGCTGCGCTTCGCCGAGAGCGTTCCAGGGGTGCCGTTCGAGGGTCGAGGGTCGGCGAGGGTCGAGGTCCCGTTCGGTGTCCTCCTCATGTCAAAGGGGGGTGGCACAGGGGCAACGTTAGGCTCGAGGTTTGAGGTTCGAGGTTCGAGGTTTTGAGCGCCTTCGTCGTTTCTCGGCGTGTTTCGGGCCTCGGGATGCTCTCCAGCGGCTGCGCCTCGCCGAGGGCGTTCCAGGGGGGCCCGGATCGTCCCGAACGGCCGCTGGAGACCCGAGTGATTCTAAGCCTCCCAGGTGAGGTCGGAGTAGATGGGGTCGGAGGATCGCGCCGCAACGCCGATGCATCGCCGATGCGGCTCGATGTGGAGCCCGATTCTCTCCGCGCTAGCGTCGCCGATACACTGCCAGCGTCGCCGATACATCGGCGATGCATTGCCGATGCGGCGCGATCCTTCGACCCCTTCTAGTCGGACCCCATTCAAGAGGCCTCTAGCTATGACCCGGAGACCAGACTCGGCGGCGCGCCGAGGAGGGAAGCGGGAGGGGGCAGGCTTCCCCGGAAGGCGGCGGCGTTTCTCGGGGGCCCACTGATCTAGGCCTCCTGGATGGGGTCGGAGTAGATGGGTTCGGAGGATCGCGCCGCATCGCCGATGCATCGCCGATGCGGTTCGATGTGGAGCCCGATTTGCTTCACGTCGACGTCGCCGATGTGTCGGCGATGCGGCGCGATCTTCCGACCCCATCTGCTCCGACCTCTTTTGGGGAGATCTCTAGCGAAGCTTTTTGAGAAGCCTGCTGAGCCGTCTCCGGAGCCAGGGAGGGGTCTGGCGGTCTGACGTGTTCGATCACGGGCGTCCTTCTCCGATCTCAGCCTCGGGGGCCCGTCGTCGGGCCCCGAGACCATCAGAAGTCGATGTGGGGCAGGAAGACACCGCGGGGAAGGGGTCGGAGCCTCCAGGACAGTGGAATGTGCATTCGCTTTTTAGCCGAGTCCCCCGACGTCATGTTTACGTTCGCACCGTCGGCCCCCAGAGGTCCCGACCCATTCCCCAGGGCGGGCGTTGCTTCTCGAGCCGTGCTTGATTGCGGTCCAGGGGCCTAGCGGTGGGGGCGCCCAGGGGCCGAAAATTGCCAAGAACTGTCCGTCGTGAGTTTGTTCACGACGCGAGGGGGTCTGGGCCCGCGCATTCTGACCAGAATCCGGAGGCGCATCCAGCCGTGGCGGCGAGAAGCCCCGCAGAGGCCCGAAAAGCTTCGATGCACCTTGAGTTCGAAGTTCGAGGTCCATCGTGATTTTTGTCCGAGACGCGAGTTGGTCTGGGAGGTCAGGGTCTCGACGCCCTGGAGAGGCCAGGACGAAGGTTTCTCCAAATCTCGTGCGCCCAAAGGCCGCTCACCCTGCGCCCTCGGGGGCCATCGCAGCGCGGCCTCGGGACGAGGCTGCAGCCCCAGGAGAGGGGTCCAAAGGTCCCTGGGGCCGCGCATACCCGCAAAATGCACGTGAGCCAACGTTGATCCGAAACCGTAGTTCGCTCATTGCACTGTGGACGTGTAAGCTACGTGGTGCAAGCCATGTGTGGTGTAACATATGTGATGCAGTAAACGTGGTGCGGCAACAAGGCGGCAAAGGGCAGCAGCGGGGCGAAACCTCACCAGACCCACGCAGCGCACGAGACGGCAACGGGCGGCAGCGTGGTGAAACCTCGCCAGACCCACCCAGCGCACCAGGCGGCAACTAGGCGGCAAAGAACGGCAGCGTAGCGAATCCTCGATGGACCCACCCAGCGCACGAGGCGGCAACTGCCGGCAGCATGGCGAAGCCTCGCCGGACCCACTCAGCGCACAAGGCGGCAACGGAGCGGCAACGTGGAAAAACCTCGCAGGATCCAGTCAGCGCACGAGGCCGCAACAAGGCGGCAACGGGCGTCAGCGTGGCGAAACATTGCCCGACCCACCCAGCGCACCAGGCGGCAACAAGGCGGCAAAGAACGGCAGCGTGGCGAATCCTCGTTGGACCCACCCAGCGCACGAGGCGGCAACGAGGCCGCAACTGGCGGCAGCGTGGCGAAACCTCGCTGGACCCGCCCAGCGCACGAGGCGGCAACGATGCGGCAACGGAAAGCAGCGTGGCGAAACCTCGCCGTACCCACCCAGCGCACAAGGTGGCAACGAGGCGACGAAGAGCGACACCGTGGCGACACTTCGCCCGACCCACCCAGCGCGCGAGGCGGCAACGGGGCGGCAACGGGCGGCAGCGTTGCGAAACCTCGCAGGACCCACCCAGCGCACGAGGCGGCAACTAGGCGGCAACGGGCGGCAGCATGGCGAAAGGTCGCCGGACCCACCCAGCGCACGAGACGATTGGGGATGGGCTGAGGGCCCTCCAGATCTCAGCGGTGGCAACGGAGGGAAAAGCCGCGGATGGCCAGGCGCAGGCGGTGACAAGGGTCAACGTGCCCCTCCTGATAGTGAGGAACAGCCGCCAGGGTGTTCCGCGCCTTCGACATGCGTTTTGGTAGGCCACCAGAGGAAGTGGTGGCCTTTGCGGAGAAGCCGCCCCCAGAGGAAGAGCAACAGCTGGCCGACCTCAGCAAGAAGTCGTTCCAAGACTTCTCGGGCAGGGAAGCTCGCAAGAAGAAGCAGACCCAGGCAGCACAGGCGAGAGTGGCGGAAGCTGCACATGCCGCGTGCGAGGCGGCTAAGGAGTACGCGGACACCTAGCGCGAGGCGCAGGCGGTCCGCAGTGAGAACCGCAAAATGATCCGAAACGTATCCGAAGCGCTGCAGGCACGGGTGGTCATTCCCAGCAGTGAAGGCGCGGCGCAGAAGTTGGTCGATGGAGTGGCGTTGCGAGGGGCTTCCCGTTCCAAGTCGACACCTCGGGTCTCAAGCAGGCCACCTCGGCCAAGCCCCTCGAGGAGAAAGAGAGAACTGCCAAGGCCAAGGACGAGTGGGCCGCAGTGGCTGCCCCGGCGCCTGCTAGCCCTCCAGGCAGTGGCGTTGTGCCAGGCGGAGGCATGGAGATCGACGCCACTTTCCGAGATCGACGCAGATGATGTAGGAGTGCAGGACTTGCTGCGAGAAGCCTACTCCTCGAGGCCCTCGCTGCCAAGACCAAGCGAGCGAAGCAGAGTGGGTCGCAGACACCGCTGGAGTAGGCCAACTAGAGTGATTCTCACACAGTGCCAGACGTGGCGCGCGTCCAGGAGCATAGGATTAAGTCGGTTGCGCCTCTTTCTTCGGCGAGCGGATGGTTGGAGAAGCGCGGCTTCGCAAGGGCCTCGCATCTGGCGGCATCAACACGCGACGGCCCCGCAGTTCGAGCGACGGAGCGGCAGTCCCCAGCAGTCTGGCGGCGACGAGCGCCCATGCACAGGGCGGCTGCGGCCACGGCGAGTGCGGGCCTCCAGCGCCAGGCTCATCCCAGAGAGCGCTGGGGCCCTGAGCTGGTCGATGGAGTCCGCAGGTGCGCCGCCTGGACCTTGGCTGGCGCTCGGGGACATCAGCGCGCTGCCAGAATACGCAGCTCTGGTCAGACAGAGCCAGTGGAGCCATGCCCTCGGCGCGCGGGGGATCGACTTCGGCGTCTGCGCGGGGGTCCCGCGCCGCTCGTCATGGAGGCGGCGCCGATCGAGGACCCCGCGCAGCATGGGCGCGCGCCCATCCACGCGCGCCCGAGCAGGCCCGACTCGCAGGCGCGCGCGCGCGCGCCGCGCCCTCCCCCCGCTCAAGTCCCGGACCCATGGGCCCCCGTCAGCGCGACCTGCAGCGGCGGAGGCTGAGGCCTCTGCGTGGCCTTCGGAGGTCGTCGCGGCGCCCCCGAAAGATCTCGGCGAGGCGCGCGGGACCCAGTCCCGACGCGTTGGTACCCCCCCTTGCAAAGTTCCATGATTTGTCCGGATGGAATCAGCACGCTGGGATGGGCAGAGCTGAAGGGTTGCAAGTTGCGAGAGCGCCTGCGCAGCAAGCCTGGGATAGGTCCCTCACGCAGCATTCCAGTCAGGCGGCCGCGCCAGCTAGAGTTCAACGGCGCCCCAGCCTCGCAGCGCCGCGCAGACAGCGGAGAGTCGTCTCTAGCACTGCACTTGACAGGTAGCCCGAGGACGGGGCTCTAGGTGCGCGGCGCAGTGAATCCAGGCAGCAGCTAGCCGAGCTTTTGTCGTCCGACGCAGAAGACGAGGGCGCGCACGCGCGTGCGTCTGAGTTTTTCGATTCAATCAAGCCTCGTCGAGTTCGGCCCCAGCGAACCGACCGCTCTGCGGCAGCCAGAGCTTGGCGGGAGCGGGCGCAGGCCTCGTTTCAGAACAGCGCCGATCAAGCCGTTCGGCATACGCGAGATTACGTTCAGGCCGCCGCTCATCAAACTGAAGAAGACCCCCCAGCGCCTGCCCCGTCGATTGCGGGGGATGATGCCCTAGACAAGACCATGGAGACCTGGGCCCCGCTCTGGATTAACCCTGCGAGAGATGCCGAGGAGCACCCTGATCTGCGGCATATATCGCCCGGCCGGATTGGACAAGTTTCACGCTCAACAAACGGCATACCTCCCAGACTCTTACAGGCAAACCTCTTTCGATATCCTGCATAATTGGGACACTGCTTGTTCTTCCCGAATAAGCCGAGCCCCCAGGGGCTGCCTGCCCGATGATCGTCTTCTCGCCTTGTGCCCGCGCCTGGTCGAGGCGTCGCCAGGTCGTCGCGCGCCGCCGGGGGCAGACTCTCCAGAACCCTGCTTTATTGGGGGGCTCGAAGCAGGCGCGCCACACGCCAGGCCTGCCACACAACGTCGCGCAGAGTTCGGCGCGGCCGAAGGCTTTCTCGGCGGCCAGCGGACTCCTGGACCTCGCGAAACACCTTGGGATTATTCGTCACGAGGAGCTTCGGACTGGAGCGCATCGGATCGGGTTCAACTTGGGGCTCCTGAAGCGCCGCCGTTCGGCGCACCGCCCCCCGAGAAGGGCGGCGCGGAGAGGCGGGACCCCCACCCCTGCGTCTGCGCGCGGCGCGGCAGCTGCGAGGCGCGGCGCCGCGCTAGCTCTTTCGAAGCTACCTGTTCGCAACCTGATGTTTAAACTCCAGAGGCAATGCCCACCTGTCCGGTTCTCAGAACATAGCGGACGATTATCCGTTGCAGGTGCTCGCCACGGCCGATCAGGTGTTGAGCCAGTTCCCCGAGGCCAGAATGGCCATAGTCCAGGGGCTCCATGGCGAAAATCCCAATGTCAACTAGGACAAGACGGCCGCTGTGCGTCCACAGCAGATTTGGCCGCACAGCTCAAGGACAGGCGGTCGCTTGTCGCGGGCGACCGCTTCACTGCATGGGGCCGGGCGCTTAGGCGCAGATGCCAACGACGGTTCGGCGCGCAGAGTAAGCGAGCAGGACGCACGGTTGGCGGAGGCCAAACGAGCAACTCCCAAGGTGTAAGCATTCAGGGTTGCCGGCGTCAATGTTGGCATTGTCACGAGGGGCCCCCCCACGGCGACGGCGGCATGGGGGAGCGCGGCGACGGCGACATCTGATCTCAAGCTGCACCAGCTGAGGATCGCGGCCCTCGCAGCTGAGGGGCGCACTCCAGCGGGCACGCCACTTGGACCCAGGCTCCGCACCTCCCCCCGAGGGTCGTACAGGGAGACCCATGGGTCGTGCGTGCGGCTGGGGTTGCCAGGCACAGGGCCTTGTCGGCCTTCTCGAAGCTTCCTGGGCGGGGCCCATGGGGGCTTGCTGGGAGGCTCCTAAGGCCCTCTAACTCAAGGCCAGACCGTGGTCTCAACGCTTGGATCCAGAGCAATTGCACAGTTGTGCATGGCATGCAGCGGGGCCACAGTGCCAGATGCCTTCACTATCGAGTTTCAGGGACTGGATTGTCCGATGCTTGAGTTTTCCCCCGGCTCTATTTGCGACTATTGATGGGAGGGTGAAGGAGGCGCCGCGACCTTCCTCGCCCCAGACACGCACGCCCCGCGCAAGATCCCAAGGCATGAATGTCGTCACTACACTAGGGACCTTCCTCACACAATCTGGAGAAAGAATAGCGATGTCTGGACTAGACATCGCAAAGCAATAATTCTTAGTTTTATCGGAGGGTCGGTTTGGCCCCAGGGCAGGTTGCCCAGGCACGGCCAGGCCTGCATAAGGCCCGGCATGAGCGAAATGTGTTTGCTTTGCGGAAGTCCAGGAAGCCTCTTCTGTCGCTTTCACGAATGCCCTTGTGTGGCGGCGCGCCGCAGGGAAGAATGCCCGCGGCACGCGCGAGAGGACGCAGATCGGATGCTGGCCAAGGGCGACGGCCGCTGAGTTGTTTGACCGCGGTGTGCCTGACCGCGGTCTGCCCCCGTCCCCGGCCAAGAGTTTTAAAATCCCTGAGGCGGAAATGGAGGATCAAGATATTTGGACTGGGGCCCCCGCGAGCTGGAAGTTCTCGGACCCATCTCTTTGTGGACGGCAGTGCGTCTCACTCGCGGATCTTGGGGCTGTCCAGGGCGGGTTGGCCCATCGTCTAAACGGGCCGTGCGGATGATGTTGTGGTTGGCGCCTTTAGGGCGGCCCCTCTCAACTACGCACCTCACTGGAACCCCGAAGATCCGCTCTGTCTACTCTGACTGTTCGATTGTTCGGAGTTGAGCAATTGCGAAGTTAATCGTGGCATTGCCCGAGGCCCCATGAACGGTAAAAGTCGCTTTGAGGCCGGCTGGTTGGAGGGGATCGGGCGCCGTGCTAGAGTCCACATGGGCAAAACTCGTGTTGCCATGACATCGGCTGCCTCCAGCCACGAAGAGTTGCTTTCAAGGGCAACCGCAAAGCAGACAAGTGGACCAAAAAACTATCTCTTAGGTGGCAGCACCCCACCACCACCCACCCACTCCACCGCCACCCCACGCGCCGCCACCCACCCACCCGCCCACCCACCCACCCACCCACCCACCACACCCACCACACCCCACACACCACCCACCGACCCACCCACCCACCCACCCACCCACACACACACACACACACACACACAGCAACTGGCATTCGTTCAGGGTGCCGAAGCAATGTCCAGGGACGCCATGCGGTGGCATGCGCAGGCCCAACAATTGTTCGTTGACGGTTGTTTCGCTGGTTCAGAGGGGACTGTTGGAACCCCAGGTGTCATTTTCGAGTTCTCTGAAGGCGATTGTGATCACCTGGAGCGTGTCGCAGCGAGGGTGGTGTGCCCTCGGGTGGTGCGCAGGGGGTGATGCCTCCGGGGGGTAGCTCGGTCCCCGCCCTTGGCCCCCCTGCCCCACTGTCTGAGGCCCTTGGAGCTGGCGCCGCGGCGATCGCCCCCGACAGGCCGAATGCTGCTGCCGCCCACAGCCAGGTTTGCGCGGGCACTCCTGGGGAGTTGAACGGCCATTCGGTCGCGCAGGCCCCCTTGGACCCGTTGCTGGAAAGGGGGCCCTGCGGAGCCTGATTACACTGTGCGTAAGGTCGGCGGGGCGTGTCTCCACGAGCGTTTTCGTCCTGGAGAGGGTTTGGACGGGGCGTGTCGGCGGAGGGAGGCCCCAGGCCTGAGGTGCCAGAGGTCCACGCTCAGCAGAGGACTCGCGCCTAGGGCACAGGCGCAGCGCTCCCGCGTCCGAGGGCCCGACGACCAGACCGTGGCGGATTAAAGCGCTTGGCTGCCTGCGCCTGACGCGTGGGGGCAGGAGGCAGGGGCGGGCGCTTCAGTCGGAGTGGTGTGCGGCGCGTGGGCGCCTGCTTTGGACGATTGGGCGGTCGCCCAACTCCACGATTTGTCACTCTCCATCAGGGGCTGCCGCGTTCGGTTCTGCTCTGAAGGTACCAGAAGACGATGTTTCCAAAAAGCCTAACGAGGGTTAGGCGCGCAGTGCCCTGCGGAGAGGAGGCCCTGCCCTCCTCCACCTCCTCCTTTTCCTCCTCCTGCTTCTCCTCCTGCTTCTCCTCCTTCTCCTCCTCCTCCTCATCCTCCTCTCCTCTCCTCTCCTCTTCTCCTCCTAATCCTCCTCCTCCTCCTCCTCTTCCTCCTTCTTCTCCTCCTTCTTCTCCTCCTCCTTCTTCTCCTTCTCCTACTCCGCCTCTTCACGCGGCGGGCTTGGCCCCTGCATATTAAGATGCCCAGCGGGAGTGGGCCCTCAACCTGTGGTGGCTTCCATGCGAGTTCAGGCGGGGACCATTGTGGCATGGACCACCCACTTGATCGCCCTCCCTCTATCACTCCCCCCGCCCTCCCCTCGGATCAGGGCGACTGGGATGATCCTGCTCTGCCATCGGTGCCGTTTCTGCCGCCGCTGGCATTTTCATTGACATGCGATTTGGAAGTATCAGCACGGGTGATTGACGAAGACATTATCGGTCCTACGAGTACCCGAAGAGAGCCGAATGTCTTCCACACACACACACACACACACACACACACACACACACACACACACACACAGAGACAGAGAGACACACAGACACACACACACACACACACATACATACACACATAGACGTGTTCCTCCAACGCGCGGCTGTGTCAAAATCACGGAAGGGATGTATCGGGCCACGATTGCATCAAGTTGGGTTCATGATCGTTTGCTAGATTGAACGGTTTGGGCCACCTAATATTAGTGTTGTTCTAGAGCTGCATCATCACCATCACCATCACCATCATCATAATCATCATCAGCATGACCGCCCTCACCACCACCACCGCCACCACCACCATAACTATCACCATCGCCGTAACCATCATCATCAGCATCATCAGCATCGTCGTCATCATCATCATCAGCAGCGGCATCACAAAGGTCATCATCGCCAACCCACTCCGCAGTTATCTGGGCTTAAGCAGCGCCTGCTGGTATTGCCACTGTCTGCAACCGGTCGCTGAGCACTTGCGCTCCTACCTGGCCATGGTGTCGGGCGCCCCCCAGGAGTCCCCCCTGGACGTCACCGTGCCCACCCAGCCCCTGCCGTCTGGCAACCAGGTGTTCGCCGAGGGCATCCGCGGCCTGTACGAGCGCCGCGAGCTCTGCGACGCGTGCCTCACGGTCGGCGGCGAAAAGTTCCCGGTGCACCGTGCGATGCTCGCCTCCATGAGCCCGAACTTCCGCGGCTTCCTGCACCAGCCGCCAACGACGGGGTCAAGCTCGAGATCCGATCCGATACCGATACGATCCGGCTCGACCCTGGCTGCGCGCCGCTGCAACGCGATCCGACGCACGTTCCGACCCGATCCGAGGTGCCAGCGCGACGCCGAGGGCTCTTGCCACCGAGGTCGGCGGTTGGCGCCGGCGCCGAGGCGCGGACAGACCCGATGCAGGGGATGCTGACGCTGGCGGCGGCTGCGGCGCTCAGGGGAGGCCAAAGGTACAGGACAGGCGTACCCCGGAGAGGAGGTCTCGGGGCCCACCTCGGAGCCCTCCTCCTAATCCTCCTCTTCCTTATCCTCCTCCTCCTCCTCCTCCTCCTCCTCCTCCTCCTCCTCCTGCTCTTCCTCCTCCTCCTCCTGCTCCTCCTCCTCCTCCCTCCTCCTCCTCCTCCTCCTCCTCTCCCCTCCTCCTCCTCCTCCTCCTCCTCCTGCTTCTCCTCCTCCTCCTCCTCCTCCCTCCTCCTCCTCCTCCTCCTCCTCCTCCTCCTCCTCCTCCTCCTCCTCCTCCTCCTCCTCCTGGGAGAGGGGGCCTTGGGGACCACCTCTAGGCGCCCAACGGCTGCGTTCGGGCGCCCACCGTGGCTGGAACCGTGGCCGCTGCGACACCTCATTGGGGGTACAGTCAACCCTGATAGCATCAGAGCCCCGAATCATCAGGGGTAACTCGGGTCAGGGCTAACTCGGGTTGGTTTTGTCGAGATTCCGAACCCGAGTTACCCCGGACCCGAGTTACCCCGGATAATTCGGGCGTCCAGAGCCCCGAATCATCAGGGGTAACTCGGGTCAGGGCTAACTCGGGTTGGTTTTGTCGAGATTCCGAACCCGAGTACCCCGGACCCGAGTTACCCCGGATAATTCGGGCGTCCAGAGCCCCGAATCATCAGGGGTAACTCGGGTCAGGGCTAACTCGGGTTGGTTTTGTCGAGATTCCGAACCCGAGTTACCCCGGACCCGAGTTACCCCGGATAACTCGGGCGCTCGGGCAATAGCAAGGATGGACGACGTTCCAAAGTTTCTCTTGCATCGTTTCCCTTCGGCCCATCCTTGGCCACTTTCGTTGGCCGCGCCCCGCTCGAAAAGGGTCGGCATGGCCTTCCGAGGCTTATTGTGTGTCCTTGATGTGCATCCTTCCTCACGGAGTGCGCTCCACGAATCGCAAAGTGCTCACTCGCAAACGTCCGAAAAAACAGGCTCGCCTCGATGGAATGGATCGTAAACCCCAGAGGTGGCCCCAGGCCACTTGCGAGCAGTTACATTGCGAGAAGTGAAACGCGCTTGTCTACTTACACTCAACCCGCATAGTAAGGATGAGCAATTTTCCAAGGAAGTCATTGCATCCTGGCCCCTTCGACCCACCCCTGGCGACGTTCGCTGGCCCACCTCGCTCGAACATGTGATCGTGGCCCTCCAAGGCCAGGCCCCTGCATCCTTGCCGCGCATCCTTTCTTTATACGGGTTGACTGCACTCTTAGTTTTGACTGTGCGTCGTCCTTCGAAGAAGAAAAACGCCATAAACATAAACTGTTGGCGCTCCGCGCGGATTTCTTGGATCTTCGCTGGAACCCCCCCGCTGGCGCGCGGAGCGCGCCAGGGGTGGCGCCGGAGGCGCCGCCGGGTGGTCCTAGCGCAGATCCAGGAACTCCGCGCGGAGCGCCAAAAAGTTTCTGTTTCTGGCGTGTTGTTTTTCTTCTATCTCAGTTTGACTGCGCGTGGCGTTTATTATTCTTATAGTGTCGTCCTGCAGCGACGTCCCCTGAGATCCTACGTTGCAACAAAATTGCAACATCGGAAAATTACACCCAGAGCCCTAGACCCCATCTTTCTGCGTCATTTTTCTAGCTGGATCGATCTTTGAGGGTCCCAGGGCACGAAATGGAGAGAAAACGCCGGTTGCGAAAAAATTGTAACGCCAGGGCCTTAGGGAGCGTCGTCCTGCGGCGACGTTTACACTTACGGCGTTTTTTCTTCTTCTGTCTTGGTTTTGATTGTTCGTGGCGTCTTTTCTTCTCTAGTGTCGTCCCGCGGCGCCGTTTGGCCCTCCTCCTCCTCCTCCTCCTCCTCCTCCTCCTCCTCCTCCTCCTCCTCCTCCTCCTCCCCCTCCTCCTCCTCCTCCTCCTCCTCGTCCTCGTCCTGGGGGTACGTCTGGCCCTCCCCCAGGCGCCGCCCCCTCCGGCGGCGGGCGCGGCCCCGCCCCCGGCGAGCGCGGAGGGCGCCGCCGCGCCCCCGGGCGGGCCTGCGCAGCCCGCCCCAGCGGCGACGACGACGACGACGACGACGACGACGACGACGACGACGACGAGGACGACGACGACGACGAGAACGACGACGACGAGGACGAGGACGACGACGAGAACGACGACGACGAGAACGACGACGACGACGACGACGACGACGACGACGACGACGACGACGACGACGACGGCGACGGCGGCGGCGCAGGCGACTCCCCCGCCGGCGGCCCCGGCCACGCCGCCGGAGGGCGCCCGCGCGGAGTTCCAGGCCTCCAGGGGGGGCAACCTCAAGCGGCGGCGAGCGAGGGGGGAAGGTCGGCTGCACGTACCCAGACCCCCTCGCGCAGTGAAAGAATCGCGACGAGAGGCTTTTCGCTACTTTCGGCCTCCGGGGGGCCCTCGCCGGGCCCCGGGACCGTCAAAAAACGACTCAGGATGAAACACTGGTCCCGGGGAAAGGGGTCCAGACCTTTGGGGGTCGACGTTGCTAAAAAATCACGACGTCGGGGGTCTGGGTAAGAGGGACCTTTCGCCGGAGTGACCCTGCGTGCGAGCACACACACACACACACACACACACACTGGGGTCCCCAGGTGGTGGAGCGCGATGCGGTAGCAGCGTCTTGCGCGCTCGGGTGTGGCCTCCCCGCGGCCCCCGAAAGTGGCGCGCACCAAAGATCACTCTTGCCAAGGGTCACTCTTGCGTGTAGCCGAGGGAAACGAGAAGGAGAAGGCCTTCGCAGAAGGCGGCGAGGCTTCTCATAAGCCCTCTGACCTTCTGAGAGGTGTTTTTTGCGTCTCAGGGAAAGCCTAGAAAACTTGTCAAAAGGCTGGGGTAATTCCGAGCCTTCTGAGAAGGCCCGCCCCTTCTCACTTCCCCCCCGGGCGCGCCGCCGAAACTTCAGGGGTTCGAAGTTCGGAAAAAAAACAACATGCATAAACGCAAACTTTTGGAGGTTCGCGCAGGTTTCTGAGATCGGCGCTGGACCTTCCTCCCTGACACGCTGCACTCGCCAGGGGCGGCACCAGATGCGCCGCTAGGGGGGTCCAGCGCCGATCCAGGAAATCCCCGTGGACCTCCGAGTCGCTACGTTTATGCCGTCGCTCGGTTCCCTAGAAGTGTAAGGCTTTCGGGCCCTGCGTCGGTCCTCTGCTGCTCCCTGGCCTCGGGATGCGCTCTCGCGGCTGCGCCTCGCCGAGAGCGCTCCGGGGGTGTCAGGAGGAGGAGGAGGAGGAGGAGGAGGATGAGGAGGCGGAGGCGGAGGCGGAGGAGGAGGAGGAGGAGGAGGAGGAGGAGGAGGAGGAGGAGGAGCTCCCCAACGGCCGCCGGAGAGCCGAGCTAGGATCCGAAGGGGGGGGGACGGGCTCCAGGGGCAAGCGCATCGACCCCCCCACCGCCCAGTCGTCGCCGATGGGGCCCTGACGGCCCGCCCGGCCCGTCAGCCTGCGGTGCCGCTACCGGGGGAGGAGGGAGGAGGAGGGGGAGAAGGAGGGGGAGGAGGAGGAGGAGGAGGAGGAGGAGGAGGAGGAGGACTGCAATGCATCGCCGATGCCAGGGCCCACCTGGGCCCTCCGCGTGCGGCTCCGGGGGCGCATCGCCGCTCTGTCTGCGATGCATCGCAGGCTCCGGGCCGAGGGTTCCCCCCAAAGGTCGACCAGACGTAAGCGTGACCCTTCGCCGGGGTGACCTTTGGTGCGGGCCCATTGGGGTCCCCCGCTCGCCGAACGGGGTGCGATAGCAGCTTCGCGTGCGCTTGTGTTTGGTCCCCCCGCGGCCCTCACAGAGCCGCGCACCAAAGGTCACTCTTGCCCAGGGTCGCTCCTGCGTGTAGCCGAAAAGAGCCGGCGTGCCCCTCCTGCCGCGCCACCCTCATCAAGGTCGCGGGGGTGCAGTCCCCGGAGGCCATGCGCATCATGCTCGACTACGTGTACCTGGTCGGCACCGGCGCGCCCTGGGAGTACGGGCCCTCGTCGGCGGACGCGGCCGCAAAGCATGGGCTGCCTCGTGCGCGCCAGTCGTTGAGAGCAGGTACGTTTGGATTCTCGGATCCCAATCTGCTTCTAGCGCCTTCCCGCTTCAAGAAGCGGCATGGTCTTGATGTGTCTTGTTATTCTCTCTGGGAGGGCCTGAGCCCAATCTACTTGATCCGCCTTCTGCTTCATGTTTCTGCCTGCTGTTTCCGACCGGCGTGTACACCTTCGCACCTCCGTTGTTCGAGTGTGCTAGCGTCGGCTAGCGTCCCGTAATCGATGAGATAGCGTCGATGTAGCGTCGACTGGCGTCGGTCAGCGTCGATTCGCGAGTGCCAACAAGATGGTGTGGGAGGCTCCCATGAGTTGCCGCAGAAGGCGGAGGTCAACAAAGACATCCTGCGGCTCGCGCGCAGCTTCGGCCTCGACCACCTGCACGAGCACGCCGCCCGCTGGCTCGCGCGGGGCCTCACCACCACGAACGTGGTCGAGCGCCTGGTCACCTGCGAGGAGTTCGGCCTCGGCCTCCTCCGCGAGAAGATCATCGAGCAGTTGGGCGCGCACCCAGCGGAGCTGATGAGTGTCGCCAGCGGCCCCGCGATCATGAGGTACCCGCACATCCTGCAGGACCTCTTGGTCAAGGTTCGGCGGCGCGCCCGGGGGGGAGGTGAGAGGGGGTGGGCCTTCTCAGAAGGCTCGGAAGCCTTCCAGCCTTCTGAGAAGTTGTCGTATGTAGCCTTCCCCTGAGAAGACGCAACAAACTTCTCAGAAGGCGCGAGGGCTTCTGAGAAGCCCCGCCGCCTTCTGAGAAGGCCTTCTCCTCCTCACTTCCCCCCCTCCCCAGACCCCCGACGTCGTGATCTTGGCACAGCATCAGCTCCCAGAGGTCTGGACCCCTTCCCCCGGGACCGGTTTTGCATCCTGAGTAGTTTTTTGACGGTCCCGAGGCCAGGCGAGGGCCCCGGACTGGACTGGAAGAAGCCACGCCTACATGGCGCATCGGCAGAAAGTCGCGCAGGAACGGAGGCCACGAAAAATTAGGAAAATCTGGCCGCTGAGTGCATGCGCGCCAGAACACGGCCACTGAGTTCGCAGCGGTGGGCAGCGGTCGCAATACATCGGCGGGTAACCGTGCAGAGGGGGGAGGCGGGAGGGAGAAGGGGGAGGGGAGGAAAGGCAGGACGAGGAGGGGAACACGGCGAGGGGCTCCCGGAGGCCGAAGACAGCGAGAAAAACTTCCCGTGGTGACTGTTTCGCCACGCGCGGGGGGGTCTGGGCCGCTCGCCGCCGAGAGAGGTGGCGTCGTGCAACGCCGCCGCGACGGCCGCGAGGCGGGCCGCGGAGGCGGCGCCCCCCGCGGAGGCGGCGCCCCCTGCGGCGGAGCAGCCGGCAGAGGCGGTCCGGGCCTTTGGCGAAACGGGGAGGCGACAAAATTGAGCGTCGTCGTCGTCGTTTTCCTGCTCCTCCTCCCGCCTCCTCCTCCTCCTCCTCCTCCTCCTCCTCCTCCTCCTCCTCCTCCTCCTCCTCCTTCTCCTCCTCCTCCTCCTCATCCTACTTCTGCTCCCTCCTCCTGCTGCTCCCTCCTCCTGCTGCTCCCTCCTTCTCCTCCTCCTCCTCCTCCTCCTCCTCCTCCTCCTCCTCCTCCTCCTTCTCCTCCTCCTCCTTTTGCGCAACGGGGAGGCGACAAAACGGGGGGGCCTGAAGAACCAGTATCGCTTGTCGGCCACGCGAAGAAGGGGGTAGGGTGAGGGGGGAAGGCCTCTTAGACGCACCCCTGCTTCTCAGAAGCGGCGGGCCTTGTCTGTAGATGCAAGGCCGGCGCCTTCTAAGAAGCAGCCTCCTAAGAAGATGTCCCCCTTCCCCCTACGGTGGAGGCGTTTGTTAAGGAATAGTCCCAGGAGGCGCCAGGCCCTGGAGGATTCCGTATCCCATGAGGGCGGCGGTGATATCTTTGGCCGATCCACGATTGGAGTTCCACTGGCTTCCAGATCCTGGACTCCGTATGTAAAGGCTCCTGATCGAATGCCCACACCGTACCCCCTTGTGCGCGCCGCCAAGCTTCACCGACCCCAATGCCCATCCCCATCCGCAGGAGCGAAAGATCGAAGAAGGAAAAACGCCATAATGTGAACATAAACTGTTGGCGCTCCGCGCGGATTTCCTGGATCCGCGCTGGGCCCCCCGGCGGCGGGGCCGGCGCCGCCCCTGGCGCGCTCCGCGCGCCAGGCAGGGGGGTCCAGCGCAAATCCACGAAATCCAGGCGGAGTGCCAAAAGTTTATGTTTATGCCGTTTTTCCTCGGGAGAGACATCCTCAGGAGCGAAAGAAGGACGTGCACGTACACGAACCCACGTTGGTTTCGAGAGTACGCATTGCGCGAGAGTTCGTATCACGCCGCTGGTCTCGCGGACTGGGGGGCCGTGCTCATGTGCGTGATTGGGCGCGTACGTCTTGTGTGGGCTCTCCACATCCAGACCCCCCCACACACCATCGCGCTACCCCAGATGGGGATGTACCCCTCGAAACCCCAAGGGATCGGCCTATATCCCCAACCAGGGGGGTAAATCAGCCAGTGGGACCCAGGCCACGCCCATGGGGATAGGGGTCGGCTAAACGATGCCCAAAGAAAGGTGCACCTCTCGCGCAGTAAAAGCCACAAAGGTGCTCGAGGGGTGCGCACGCTTCTTTGCCCCCCCCCCCATCTTGCAGTCAGCGTCCATAGTAAGGATGCGCTGCTGCTTCATCAAGGCTACCCTTGCATTCCTGCTTCTTCGGCCCAAACTGAGCCAATGTTGACGTCCAAGGAGCTCTGACTGGTGAATGGGACTTCCAAGGATCTCGCATCCTTTCACCGTGCACCCTTACTATGGATTTTGATTGTATCGATTAGAGGCGACCAGGGGGTCCGAACTGGCTGGGACCCCAGAAAATCGATCAGGAGGGGGGATGAGGCCAAATCCGCTCAGAATCGTTTCCTGGACCCCTCCCAGGATCCATCTGGCGCAGGTTTCACGCCGGATCCGTTTTGCATGGTCCCGGGCCCCGAAACGGCTTGCGAAGGCCAAAACAGGCAAAGAAATAAAAACAGCAAGAAAAAAGAACGGACCCAGAGCCACGAACCTGCCCGCCCTTCCTGCAAGCCGGAGCCAGTGCTGGGCCACCTCAAGACCCCCAGACGGCTCCAGCGCATCGCCACACCTCATTGAGCAGCGCGCGAGGCGGCGCCTGAGGCGAAGGCGGAGGAGGCGGCGGACAGGGCCGCCGACCCGAAGCCCCAGCACAGGGCCAGCACCAGGGCGGAGACCAAAGCGGCGGCCGCGGAGCGCGCCGCCGCGGAGAAGCCGGCCGCGAAGCGCGCCAAGCGCGGGGCGGCGGGCGCGTGAGCGGCGGAACCCCTCCTCCCCAGACCCCCTCGCGTGAGAGGGGGGGACCAGACCCCCTCGCGTCGTGAAAAAAAGTGTCGGCGAGCTTCGAACTTGGAGCCTCGAGGCTTTTTGGGGCCTCCGAGGGGCTTCTCGTCGCCACGGCTGAATTCGCCTCCACATTCTGGACAGAGCGCAGCCCAGGAGAGGTCTGTGGGGGTCGACTTGTGACCCCCCAGCCCAGACCACCTCGCGTCGAGAACAAATCACGGCGCAAGTTGTTTGGCCAGTTTCGGCCTCGCCGGGCCCTGGGAGCGTCAGAGAAGGACTCGCGATGAAAGGTTGGTCCCGGAATGGGTCGAGACCTCTTAGGGCTCCACGTTGCGGAAAATCATGACGTCGGGGGTCTGGGTGCACGACGCCCCGACCGCTGCGCCAGCGCTGGGAATTTGCTTGGCGTTCAGCGGTGAGGGCGGCCATGCGCACGAGTGACCTTGCGCCAGAGTGACCTTTGGTGCGAGCACGCAGGTGTCCCCCCAGCAGTGGCTCACGCACGGGGTCCTGGCGCCCCCGCGGCCCTTTAAAACCGCACACAAAACACAGAGCCCCGGCGTCCTCGGAGTCAAGGGAGGAAAAACCACCCGGACCCAACAAGTCGCGTTTGCTAAACGGCCCTGGGCGTTTACTAAACAGCCCTGCCCTGATCGATTCCTTCTGTGGACGCGCTTACTAAACGGCTTCGCGTGTCGGGGTGATTATGATGTGGGGGGATGTTCTGCCTTCTACGGAGGTTGGGGGGGTGAGATCGCAGTGGAACGGAGAGCCCCCCACCGGGAACTCGGGTTCGGTTTCGTGTTCGGGTCGCGCGCGCGGGCGCGGCGAAGCTGCGTGGGCGCGTCGCACTTACCAGCAGCCTGTTCGTTTCCCCCCACCCCCCAACCTCCTTGTCACCCGAAGGGTGGTCGTATAGGTACACACTGTTAATTTCTAAGGATTCGAAAGTTCTTTTTTGGGGGGGGGGCGCCAAGATCCTTTCATTTCTGATCGTTCTATCCTGGGCCTCTTCCTGGCCACTAGGGGGCCAGGAGCAATTCGAAACGAGCATAATTAGAAATGAGCACGATTAGAAATGAACGACTGGTACTTTTTCTGCAGCGAGGGCCCCTGGGAGTCTCGACCCCTTCCCCTGGACGGGCTTGGCTGTTGCTCCCGAGCCGGTCCTGCTGGCGTCTCCGGGTCCAGGCGAGAGACCCACCCCGCAGGCCGAGAATCGGCAAAAGCCTCCCGTCGTGACCTTGGTCCCGACAGGAGGAGGAGGAGGAGGAGGAGGAGGAGGAGGAGGAGGAGGAGGAGGAGGACGTGGGGGTCTGGGAAAGCCGCGCACCAAAGGTCACCCTTGCCCAGAGTCGCTCTCGCGAGTAGGCAATGGCACGCGCCGCCGCCTCGCGGGGGACCCCAGTCGCGGGGAAGCCGCGGAGGGGCCCCTCCAGGAGCCGGGAGGTCCGACGTGCCAGGGGCGTGGATCGTTCAGGAGCAACGAAAGGGTGTGATGGGCACAGGGGGGAGCATCGACCCCCAATCGCCCATGGATTGCCGATGGGGGTCTGATAGCCCCACCTCGCCCACGGACGTGCGGATTCGCTATCGGGTGCCCAGCGCCGATCTATCGGCGGTGCATCGCCGACTCCGGGTCGATGTGTCCCCCCCTGTGCCAGACCCCTCCCTGTCGTTGTCCCTCGATATCGTGCGCGCCGCGTTCCAGCCGGTGTCTGTACAGAGCGAGGGGCCGCGGTCTCTGCAGTCAGGAACGTTTTTGTTGATCGGGTAGGAGGTCGATTACAGAATTGATGTTCCCCAAGGTTGACATCTTCATCGGATCTATAGAAAAGACGTAGAAGGATTGGCATATCTGCGCAAATAGCGCACAGCGATGGCAGATTCGATGAAAAAACAGGTTGGGGGATCAATCGATTCTGTAGTCGATCTTCTACTCGAGCTTGTCGTGTTGCGCCGCTGGTTTTGGTCCACCACGCTTCAGCGCGACACCCTGACCACTTCCCAGTCCTCAAGCGTCAGCGTCCCGAGCCTTTCCTGGCCTCCCGCCACGCGTTCGGAGCGACATGCTATCCGCTTACAGGGCATAGCATGTCGCCTGGGCCGCCGCCGCGACATGCTAAGCAAAAGTTCCCGACCGCATATTCTCTTTGTGCTTTGCTCAGGACGTGCGCCGTTGCTCCTTGGCGCCTTGAACTCTGGGGGTCGCCAGGGGATCCTGGCTCTGATTTTGCACTGCCTGTGCAGCCGAGGCGCAGGGGATGGCGCCTGGCCGAAACGTATTCCATCGCCCAGTCCACAGATACAGATATATCTTGTTCCTCCACCTCTCCCCCTCATCATCGTCATATCCCATGATGGTTCCCCCATCCTCGTCCTCATCTTCCCCCCTCCTCCTCCTCCTCCTCCTCCTCCTCCTCCTCCTCCTCCTCCTCCTCCTCCTCCTCCTCCTCCTCCTCCCCCTCCTCCTGTTACGTAATTAGCCCACCCGCCCCTGTCACCCTTTCTCCCCATTCCCAATTATCCCCCCCCCCTCCCCGACATCATCCTCTGCCGTGTTCCTCCTCCCACCCTTTCAAATATTATTTCTCCTCCCCTCCTCCTCCTCCTCCTCCTTCCTCCCTCCTCCTCCTCCTCCCTCATCATCATCATCATCATCATCATCATCATCATCATCATCATCATCAGCATCATCATCATCATCTTCATCTTCATCTTCATCTTCATCTTCATCATCATCATCATCATCATCATCATCATCATCATCATCATCATCATCATCGTCGGTATGCTCCTCCTCCTCCTCCTCATTCCCCTTTGCTTCCCCCTCCGACATATTGCTATCCTTCCTTCCTCTCCAGAACTCATCCACCACCTCATCCAGCTCATCCTACGCATAATTGTTATCATCACGTCATCATCAAATCCATAATCGTCGTCATCAGCATCACGAGCAACAGCAGCAGCAGCATCATCATCATTCACCTGCTCCTCCTCATCCCTTCCCCCTCATTTGGGCTCAAGCCGTTTTGGCCCATTGAGATTGCCCAAGTGAGCGTTCTTTCCGAACGCCAGCTACAACAGTCAGCCAGCCATGCCGGGAACGCGAGCTGGAAAGTCTGTCATAGAGGGTTTGGCGAAAATTGTTCCGATGTTTGAGCAGATGATGTGGCCGGCCGCATGCAATTCATTGCCCCGAGCTTGGCTGGCGGTACACAATCTCAGTTTAGATAAGATGGCGTTTGCAACCGATGTGAAGATCGTAGAGCAGAAGGTTGACGCTCACATGCTTACACTTGAAAGTCTTGTGTATAGAGAGCCCTTACATTATACAACATAGCAGAATAACTCGAATAATTCACCGGTTACCTCACAAAGGTTAGAAAATAGAAAATAAAGTTTCCAACAAAAAATGACGGTGTTCCACAAGTGTAAAGATGTTGAGGACACGTGCGTTGAGCTGGAGAGCCACTGCGCGGAGCTGAATGCTCGCAGCCACGGGCTCTAGAAGAAGTGCATGCAGTTGGACGGCTAGCTGGAGCACCACAGGGAGGAGATCCTCACGGGGACTGGCAGCAGCCTCAAGCTGGAACCAGAAGTACACATTGGAAGGGGCCTCTCAAACGTTCGTCAGGCCTGCGCAGTGCCCATAAGAGCAAGAACGCAGCTGAGCACAGGAGGGCGTGCAGGCAGCTACGGAGCTCGGACATGCAGAAGCAAGGTGCGGACGACGCTGCAATGCCATAGGAGAGCAGAGCATTGACAGCGCGAGCACCAAATCTGCAAGTGGGGACTGGCAGCAGCCTCAAGATGGATCCAGAGGTAGGCGAGGAGAAGATCATGATGGTGCAAAGGCAGCTGCAACAGCTCACGAGCAAGACCGTGGCGACGGCAGTCAAAGTGCAGGCAGAGAAGCATGTGCAGCAACACGGATCTCGCGGGACGCGATGGTGGCAGAGGTCAGCCAGTCGGAGAGCACCCTCAAAGAAGAGATCCGTCAGCTACGGGAGTCGACGGACAAGCACAACCGGAAGGAGGAAGAAATGTTGAGGAAGATCCGCATGTTGGAAGAGGCGTTGAGTGAGTACAAAAGTCTGGGAAGTTCGTCGGGGAAGCGGAAGGGGAGAGAAGGGACGGGTCCTCCAAGTGAGATGATGTAGTTGCCCATTTTCTTGTAATGGTGAAGCAAAGAGGTAGCTGATGCTTCATGTGGTCCCCGTGAGCCTGCGATGGAGTGGCCGCCGATCGTCTCGTGGCGTTCGTCTTTTGATGATCCCAAGGCTTGCACGCAGGCCTGGGCCACGTTTCGCATGTGTCCTGCGAGCGCGTTCTGCGTTGCAACGAAAATACTATGTAAGTCACATGGACCATGCCGCCCGCGGCAGAAGGAGTCAGAAATCAAAATCACCATCCATCTGCTCCTCATCCTCCTCCTCCTCCTCCTCCGCCTCCTCCTCCTCCTTCCCCCTCATCCGCACCCTCCCCCTTCCGCACATTATGTTCCCTCCTTCCTCCCAATGTTCATCCTCATCCAGCTCACCCTACTCATCACAGGTAGTCATCAGCGACATCAGCATCAAGCCCGTCATCGTCATCAACCGCATCATCAGCAGCATCAGCCTCATCATCGTCATCATCATCAGCATCATAATCGTCATCGTCATCGTCATCATGATCATCGTCATCTTCACCATCAGCAGCAGCAGCATCCTCATTCACCTGCTCCTCCTCATCCTTCCCCTCATCTCCCCCCTCCCGCATATTGAGACCCTCCTTCATCTCCAAGCTCATCCACATTCTCATCCAGCTCATCCTACCCATCATCGCCACCATCAACATCAGCATCATATCCGTCATTGTCATCATCAGCGCCACCATAAACAGTATCGCCATCATCACCATCACCATCAGCCTCGCGATCCTCAACTTCAGCATCATCCTATATGGTCCTCCAGTTCGCCCCATGATGCTCCTCCTCCTCCTTTTCCTCCTCCTGCTCCTCCTGCTCCTCCTATGTATTCTGCCCCGTCCTCTTCTCCATGTGCCCCCTCCCGCCCTCCCTCCTCCTCCATCGCCCCCCGAGGTCCGCGGGGGTCTGAAGGTCCTGAAGGTCGCCAGAGGCCTTTGGAGGCGCAAAGAGGAACCCACAACTCTGAAAGCTTCGATCTTCGAATCGCGACCTCCGAACTTCGAACCTTCCTCCTCCCCCTCCTCCTCCTCCTCCTCCTCCTTCCCCTCCGCTTCCTCCTCCTCCTCCTCCTCCTCCTCCTCCTCCTCCTCCTCCTCCTCCTCCTACTCGTCCTCCTCATTTTCCTCCTCGATATATCAACAAGTTCCTCTAAACTGTCCTCGATCCTTGGAAACCTCGACCTTCGAACAACGTCCTCCTCCTCCTGTTCCTCCTTCGAGCTTCGAGCCGCAGGCATTGTTGTCACGGATGACTGAGGCCGTCGTGAGCCCTTCCTGGCCATCAACAGGGGAGTGGCACAAAACCGAATGGATAAGAGAGAAGACGAAGGAACGACCGCACAACGGAATGGATAAGAGAGAAGACGAAGGAACGACCGCACAACGGATAGTTCACTTGCCCCATCCCCTTCAACGCTTCTCCTGCTGCTCCTCCTCCCCCTCCTCCTCCTCCTCCTCCTCCTCCCTCCTCTCCTCCTCCTCCTCCTCCTCCTCCTCCTCCTCCCTCGCCCCTCCTCTCGCTCCTCCTCCTCGCTCCTCCTTCCTCCTCCGCTCCTCTCCTCCTCCTCCTCCTCCTCCTCCTCCTCCTCCTCCTCCTCCTCCTCTCTCCTCTCCTCCTCCTCCTCCTCCTCCTCCTCCTCCTCCTCCTCCCCCCGTGCCGACGGGAGGCTGCAGCCCTGGGGGGAGACTGCGGTGGACGCACGGGGAGCCTGCCGTGGATGTAGGAATTACCACGCCGTGGATGTAGGCATTGCCACGCCGTGGATGTAGGATTTGCCACGCCGTGGATGTAGGATTTGCCACGCCGTGGATGTAGGACTTGCCACGCCGTGGATGTAGGACTTGCCACGCCGTGGATGTAGGAATTGCTTCGCCGTGGATGTAGGAATTGCCATGGAGCCCGCGTTTTCAACGCAGGCCCTCCCCTCCTCACCTCCCCCATTGTCCTCTACGAGAGGAAGCCGCCCTCCACGAGAGGGAACCGCCCTCCACGAGAGGGAGCCGCCCTCCACGAGAGGGAACCGCCTTCCATGAGAAGGAGCCGCCCTCCACGAGAGGGGGCCGCCCTCTACGAAAGGGAGCCGCCCTCCACGAGAGGGAGCCGCCCTCCACGAGAGGGAGCCGCCCTCCACGAGAGGAAGCCGCCCTCCACAAGAGGGAACCGCCCTCCATGAAAGGGAACGCCTCCACGAGAGGGAGCCGCCCTCCACGAGAAGGAGCCGCCGTCCACGAGAGGGAGCCGCCCTCCACGAGAGGGAGCCGTCCTCCACGAGAGGGAACCGTCTTCCACGAGAGGGAGCCGCCCTCCACGAGAGGGGGCCGCCCTCCACGAGAGGGGGCCGACCTCCACGAGAGGGGGCCGCACCCCACGAGAGGGAGCCGCCCTCCACGAGAGGGAGCCGCCCTCCACGAGAGGGGGCCGCCCTCCACGAGAGGGAGCCGCCCTCCACGAGAAGGAGCGCCCTCCACGAGAGGGAGCCGGCGTTTTCAACGCAGGCTCTCCTCCTCACCTCCCCCACTGCCAGCCCTCCACGAGAGGGAACCGGCGTTTTTCAACGCAGGGCCTCTCCTCCTCACCCCCCCCAGTCTCCCCTTCCCCCCTCTCCCTCCTCCCTCTTCCCCTTCCCCTCTCGTCCGCCCCCACCCCCCGGGAGGACGATGTCTATGGCTGTCGGTGGGTGTGCCTTCCACCTTTCCAGTCCTTTGGAGGAAGGCCGAAGGGCCCAGACCCCATCACGTCGTGAACATGTCACGACGGAATGTTTCTATGGCTGTTGGTGGGTGTGCCTTCCACCTTTTCGACCGAGCGTGGGTTGGGGCGAATGCCATTCCCCAGCCACGCCAAGAGAATAGGGAAGTGTTGTGTCCAAGATTGGACTGAGGCGAAGGTTTCTCCCCCTCACTCTCGGCAGCCCCCGTACCCCGTTCCCTTCCACTTCTCTCGCCCGCCCCCCCCATCCCCTATTCTGGCCCGCTCCGCCTCCTTCTCTTGCCGCCCTCCACGAGAGGGAACCGCCCTCCACGAGAGGGAGCCGCCCCCCGCGGGGGGAGCCGCCCCCCACGAGAGGGATCCGCCCTCCACGAGAGGGAGCCGCCCTCCACGAGAGAGGGAGGGAGCCGCCCTCCACGAAAGGGAGCCGCCCTCCACGAGAGGGAGCCGCCCTCCACGAGAGGGAGCCGCCCTCCACGAGAGGGAGCCGAGAGGGAGCCGCCCTCCACGAGAGGGAGCCGGCGTTTTCAACGCAGGCCCTCTCCTCCTCGCCTCCCCCACGCGTCCCTCCACGAAGGCAGCCGCGTTTTCAACGCAGGCCCTCTCCTCTGCTTATCCACCTCGCCGGGCACAGTGCTTTCGATTTGGGTTGTTATAATATATATATATATATCTATATATATATATATATATACTGGTTGCACTGAATATGGTAATGAGGATTAGCGCTTTCGGCATCTTAACTGTCTCCCTGGATAGACCCCCACACATGTATTTGCAAGGTGGAGTTCTGGCAGAAAGCCGCACTAGGCAGGTAAGGCTAGCGCCGTCCGCCCTGGAACTCTGCCAGGACTGTGGGCTACGGCTATGCTACGCATACCCATCTAGCCTGCGGTCCGTTGTTTCGGCTGGCCCGACTCAACAAATAGGCTGGAGTTCTGGTGGCAAGCAGCACTAGGTAGGCAAGACTAGCGCCGTCCGCACTGGAACTCTGCTAGGACTGTGGGCTACGGCTATGCTGCGCATACCCATCTAGCCTGCGGTCCGTTGTTTCGGCTTGCCCGACTCAACACATAAGCCTTGAGTTCTGGTAGCACGCCGCACTAGGTAGGCAAGAAATTGGGAACTCTGTTAGGGCCCTGGGCTAAGGCCCTTGAATTTGCGTGACTCTAAAAGTTTTTAGAGTCATTTTCCAATCGCCAGAGGGAAAGGCGAAGGTGTTTGGGGTTAAGGTTACCCCGGTCAGGGTGTTGGTTCCTGGGGGCCACACCTCCGTCCTTGCGGGTTTCAGGGCTTAGGGGGTGGGGATATCCTTTTAAGCTCGGCACCCCTTGTCCCGGCCTGCCCAGCTCAGGGGTAATAGCTGGATCCCCTACAGGGCAGGCTCGCCCCTCAACCACGGAGTGGGGTCTTCCGGCATACCCAGCCATCTCGGGTCGAGGAGCACAACCTGTCATATCATGACAGGCGTCCTTACGTCCGTTGCAGCGCGGCTGTATAGGCTGGCGCCTTTCGCACTGGAGCTCTGCCAGGACTGTGGGCTACGGCTATGCTTCGCATACCCATCTAGCCTGCGGTCCGTTGTTTCGGCTGGTCCGACTCAACAAACAAGGCTGGAGTTCTGGCAGAAAGCCGCACTAGGCAGGTAAGGCTAGCGCCGTCCGCACTGGAACTCTGCCAGGAGTGCGGGCTACGGCTATGCTACGCATACCCATCTAGCCTGCGGTCCGTTGTTTCGGCTGGCCCGACTCAACAAGTAAAGCTGGAGTTCTGGTGGCAAGCAGTACTAGGTAGGCAAGACTAGTGCCGTCCGCGCTGGAACTCTGCTAGGACTCTGGGCTACGGCTATGCTGCGCATACCCATCTAGCCTGCGGTCCGTTGTTCCGGCTTGCCCGACTCAACACATAAGCCTTGAGTTCTGGTAGCACGCCGCACTAGGTAGGCTAGATATTGCCAACACTAGGGGGATCCATGTAGGCTGGGTCCAGATTGCTAAGGCGTTGCCACCAACGAAGCGCTCCCGCCCCCACATCCCTTCTCTAACCCGAGCCAGTCCCAACCCTTCCGCCCAGCTCTCCAGAGGCCGGACATCATCCTGCCTCCTCGCCCTCCCCCGCCTCGTCTGCCCCCCCTGCCCTCCCCCCCTTTGCGCTCTCCTCTCTACCTCCTCCTCCCCCGTCCCAGGGCTGGTAGCCCAAGCTTGCTTTCGACGTGGGGCTGCTAGCCAGGGTGGGACCTCGCCAGCATCCCCCATAAACAGGCTGCGAGTTGGGGTCTCCCCAAGCAATGGGTGTCCCCCATTGGCAGTCCCAAATGCGGCCAACGGCCCCGAGGGACTGCTCAATGGCGGCCCGCTCGCAGACCTGGCAGTTTGGTCAGTGATCCTCCTCCTCCTCGTCCTAGTCCTCCTCTTCCTCCTCCTCCGCATTCCTCTCGCTGCTCTCCCACTCCTCCTCCTCCTCCTCCTCCTCCTCCTCCTCTCTCCTCCTCCTCCTCCTCCTCCTCCTCCGTCCTCCTCCTCCTCCTCCTCCTCCTCCTCCTTCTCATCCTCCTCCTCCTCCTCCTCCGCACAAATGCCGAGGCCTCGGCCACCGAGCGGTCGGCCTCGACGGGGTGCCCAAGTTCTGCGCGATGGCCCGGAAGACCTCGGGCTGCGAGGTATGGCAGCAGGATTTGCAGGAGCTCAGCC